AACTTTATATCACATTAACAGAGCTTGTTAAATCTTATTCATCTCGTATAAATTGTTCGTCTAGTACGCCTTCCAACTGAAACCTTCGCTTGTGAATTTGTATCGAAAGTCTTACTTCAGAACGACTATCAAATAGTCGTATTAACACTATTAGAAGAAATTAAATTCAATTCTGAATACATATTTAGCGAGATATATTTTTTTTAATACGAGATGTTGCATAAAATGTATTTTGAACTCTTTCTATCTGTAAGACTTCCTTATTTGTTCTTTCCCTTCCCCAGCTGAACGAGAAATTGTACGTGATATCAAAGAGAAGCTGTGTTATGTTGCCTTGGACTTTGAGCACGAGATGGCCACTGCTGCTGCTTCTTCTTCACTGGAAAAGACCTACGAGTTACCAGATGGTCAAGTAATAACTATCGGCAATGAAAGATTCCGATGTTCGGAAGCAATGTTTCAACCTTCTTTTCTGGGAATGGAGTCTTGTGGCATTCACGAGACTACTTTCAACTCCATCATGAAATGTGACGTGGATATCCGTAAGGACCTGTATGCCAACACGGTGCTGTCAGGAGGAAGCTCCATGTTTCCAGGCATTGCTGATAGAATGCAAAAGGAAATCGGTTCACTTGCTCCAAGCACAATGAAGATCAAAATAATAGCCCCACCCGAAAGAAAGTATTCCGTGTGGATTGGGGGATCTATCTTGGCTTCTCTTTCTACATTCCAGCAGATGTGGATCTCGAAACAAGAGTATGACGAATCTGGGCCAAGTATTGTTCACCGCAAGTGTTTCTAAACTTAATTTTCTAATTAAATTTCACTAGCGGTCAGTTCATTTTTCCCGAGATTTTTTTAACTGCCAGGCTAAGGATGTAACAAAACGGAAGGCCATAAAGCCGTAAGCACTAATATCTACAACTCTGTCGTAAAGTGCTTTAATATAAGTCTTTAATTCGGTGATGTTTCTTTGGAGGGGAAGGGTGAGTATAGTGACTTAAAGTAAAATGAATGCTTCTCTTTTATTTTTTTATACTAATGTTTGAAACTACCCTTACCAATGGTATTTTTTTGTGCAAATATTTAATTTAAAATTAACACCACTTAAGTTAACATTATGAATTGCCAATTGTTTATTTAATGTATTACAATTTTTTTTTTTTTTTTATATGTAACTAATCTTGTAAAAATCCGAATTTCAATCTTCAAGTCTTGCCGCAGTTTTTGTACACATGAAATTAAAATTGTAAATTAAAACTAATTTTGCCATGTTTACTTACTGTACTCCATACACAACCATACCCACTATGGTAAACTTCAGCATGTTAGCTGGATAAATTTGTAATTAAGCACAAAGTTGGACAATGAATTATCTGTATTGTGCCCATCGCGGGTATCTAAATCCGGCTTTTAGCGTTATAAACCTTCAGATTTACCTCTGTGGCTATGGGGGGGGGGAGAACAGAATTTGTATACAACTACACCTAAATTTGAGAAGAGAAACTTTGACCTTTGTATGTAAACCTTTTGGTTATGAACAATTTAATTACAAACAAAGTGTTCCAATCGTATATTAAGCTCGTTACTCTGGGCTAAAACCTGAAGGGGGGGGGAGCTCTATCATAGTCTGTAGACTGTATGTAGGGATGGCTAAGGTATTCAATAGGCCTAATACAAATATGTACGCTAAAACATTAACAATAACAGTTTTACAATAAAAGATGATTGCCACTCACTTTAATTTGTTTCTCTGCCCAAAAAGAAGGCAAGAAACCATACTTAAGATCCCAAACCAGAAAGTGACCAACCCACTAAATTGTTCATCTTACTATTTTATCACTAATGTCTGTTTAAACCACAGACCACTCTGTTTCTGGGCAGTAAACGATGTCATTGCTTTGGCGTAATAATTAATTGTAATTAAAAATAACAATTCTAGTGTAAACTGTTACAATTTACCCCTGAACCTGGTTTTTTTGCTTTAAAAAAAGTCTCAAAACAAGTAGCAATAAAATAACTATTTCATACCCCATTTGTAATAATCAGTACATGTTTCGACTTAACTTGGTTTTACTTGTACGTAAGTCCTAGGCTGTTAGTTACACTACATTGATACCTACCTGGACATGACTGTGATATTATGATAAACAAACTGTATACCAACAGTCAGGAATATGACTGCAGTAATATTAAATTAAATTATGCATTTTACAGTGTAACATTAAATTTTAATATTGAAAGTCTTGTGTAGCTGTATCAGCCCTATATTCGTGTTCGCATTCTTCTTGACATTGCCATCCGTACATAATCTTACGTTTACAGAATGTCTTATTATTATTTGCATGTTCAAAGTAACTGTTGAATTATCGAGTGTAGTCTTATTCTATTCTTTGAACTAAAAATTACGAGATTTGTTTACACAAGTACGTTTTAATAATATTTATATGTTGATTCGGGGAATTGAGATTTCAACCTGAAGACTTTGCTAAACTGTCAATTTTCTAAACAACTGCTTCGTGTAAACTTATGTAAATATGCTATAATTTATTTCTTTGAGTCGAAGTTAATTCAACCAATTAAAGTTCAAAGGTTATGCTGGGAAACTGTTTAATGCAGGGAAAACACTAAGAGGAAACCAATTTTCCGCTGTCTTATAATTTTTAATTCTTGGAAAAAATATTTTGAGAAGTTTTATTCGTTTAAATGTTTATGAAAAAGTTAAGCGAATAGTAATCCAGCAAAATTCAAAATAAATGTTGAGTGTTGATAAGTAAATGGTTAAGACATTCGTACAACTATGGAAGCCGTACACGATGGCGAAATGTTCAGTATTAACCAGCATTCCACATTTTCATTACTTCATAGTCGTGTTGAAATATCGGGCGACAACGTCTACCAGCAAAGTTCGCGCAAGACCATTTGATAATTACTTGCTTATTGATAGAAGAAGGGAGAACTTCCTTAGATTAACTAGGCTTAACCAAACCTTTTAAGCAGTATAGGGGAGAATAAATGTTCGTTTATAAACTGCGACAAAGTCTGCAGTCATAATCAGTTTTATTTGAAAACAGAAAGTGATGACAGGCGCGCAACCAGGATGATTTTGTTTTACAAGAAGAGGATTCTCTTTTTCAATCCACCACTTTCTAAATGACTTGATAAATATAAAATAGTCTTATTTTGTAGTTGATCGCCCAGTAACCATTATAATAAACACAAAAAAGGAGTTGAAGTCAGAAAAAGTGTTCGACTATCTTAATATGAATTTTTATTTTCTTCACAAGACTTTATTTTATGGTTAAGAGGAGACGAGCCACATAAGCCATCCTTTCATTGCCATTTCTAGTTCGAAATCTTCGCAATCCACCATTTTTCTCGTTTTCATAGATACATAAGCTTAATCTTACAAAATTACGTGAGACATGATTAATTATAGATATATATTGTAATTTAGGTAACAACGTTAACATGGTACATACTTATAAGCTCGGAAGAAAAATTATTTTTAAATCAGATATGCAGTTTTGTATTGAATTATTAACATTTAATATAAAATTGTTAGAAATGCGCTTGCAACTTGTGCCATAACAAATGGCAAAAAGAAAAATAAATTATAGAGATTAATGTTTACTTTTAAAATACATATCTGTTTTAAGCAGTAATTAACCTGATATTGATCGTATCTTTGGAAGAAGCTACAGTGACTCTTCGGTACTAGGATTAAAACTCCAGTATAATCGCTTCTTGAAAAGCTTGCTTTTGTAACTTCATTTAATTTCATAATTAGGCCTATATTATCATTAAGGTTAAAATCGATGATGATTATTCAATCTTCAAAATAGTAATTATTAAAACGATTTCACTATTAGAGCATCGTTCACAGTGAAAAGGAATACTGAACTTAATGCTTCAAGCCTCTCATTTCTTGTACTTGCATATTGAAACAAGTGGTTTCGGTTAATTTTTAACTGTTTCACAAAGTGTTTCAACTATTCTGTCAAAGGCTTAAGTAATAAAATGATCAATAATAACAAAATCGATAAATTGGCATACGTACACGATAAACTCAGAATAAAACTTTAAACGTTAGAAGTATTTATAGTTTCAAAATTGCGCAAGGATATTGTATGTATTGTTACATCTCCGTTTGTTAATTAAC